CCTGGGGGTAAAGCACTGCTCAGCCTGGGGTGTGTAGGGACCTGGGGTTCATACCCCTTATCAGCATCTCGTACTTGCCTATTGTCAGTCTTTTTTGCTGGGAATTCTCTTACAAACTGCCTCTAGTTTTGTGCTGGGTTTATATGTCAGCCCCTAATACAGTTTCTCTGACAGGAGATACTGATGTTGGAAAGTTTCTTTCTTTCTAGGGGAAACAGATTTTAAACCTGGCTAATACCAGCCTCTGTAATGCAATAAGGAACATGAGTGAACAGAGGAGTATCTATTAGCATGTAGAGACCATACTAAAGATAACGAGGTCAGCCCAGCTTGAAGGATAACTTCACAGAAAGTAACTAAACCATCTCTGTGGGTGGATTTTGGCCTGCTGGACCTGCAGGGTCAGTTTGATGAGAAGGACAGTGCTGAACAGCTGAATGCAGTGAAACCAGCTTCCTTTTCTTGCAAAGCAATTGCACAAGGGGCAAAGGTAGCTCACCTGGGCTTATGGACTGCTGTGCTGAGGTGAGTCCACGTTGCTGCTTCTGATCAGCAGGGCCTGTGCTCAGGAAAGAGGAAAAGCATCAGCATTAGACCACAGCTTCTGCACCTGCCTGCGTTAAAGGCAGCAGCCCAGAGGTGAGTATCAGTGTCTTTCTCTCCTCCAGGTTCTGTAAATGTCAGTTCTATGCCAAGGAAGTAAGAAAGATAATTCCTGTAACCAGCCATCCAGCTTGAGCCAGACTAAACCCTTGCTGGTTCTTGTGCTGTTGTCACAGAAAAAAAGTGCAGAACTCAGGACACAATTATTACTTGTAGTTTTAATATTATTTTTTTTCCCCTCAAACTAGCATCAGTTTGGTGTGCCAACGCTGTGTTGTTTGATCAGGGTTAACAGAATTAAAAATGAAATGTTTATAAAATCCTAGTGATGAGTCATTAGCAACCTGATACAAAGCAATCTGATGATTAAGACTGCAAGTTTCATATTACCACTTTTTCAACAACGTTTGTAGGTAGAAGCAATTAAAAATCCTCAGAAGAAATATGTCTCAGAGCATTTGTTCTTTGTCTTTTATTAACTGTTGACTTGTATGAGGCTATGGAAGCTGCTGACAGATTCTGCATTACCTCTTTTTCTTTTTAACTCTGAAAATCCATTTTCCAGTCCTCTGTGAAGGCTGAGATCTGCTCTCTTCTGGCTCTGCTGGCAGTTGTGTTTCCACTTTCCTCTCTGGTGCCAGATCTATTTGACTACTTTGGAGCTTAGGAAGGAAGTACTTATGTGAATGAGAGAGGAAAGAGAGATGTACAGGTGATGTTTATTGCCCTAAACTGCACATGAAGCCTTGTTTGAGATGTCCGAGTCACTGGACCGGAGTCGTTACTGATGTGTGAAATGAAGCCTGGGTACCAACAGCAAAATATCTGCTCCAGTAGGTCACAGCCAGGCTTGTCACCAGCCCACGGCCTACTCCAAGTGAGCACCGTGGTCTCTGTTTAACCTCCAGTGAATAATCATATAATTACAGGGGGCTTTTTACAAGCAGGTTCCTTGAAGGGTGGCCAAAGGGCAGAGAAGAGAATCTGTTTTCCACCTCACCTGTCCCGGCAGGATGGCATCCATGGGCCCTGGCTGAGGACAGCAGTGTATGGAGATGCGGGAAGTGCCCCTGAAACTGATGGGGTCCTGCTTGGGGTATTTGAGGACACCAGCCCCTGGGACCTCAGATCCACCTTTATGAGCACTGTATCCAAGCAGAGGTAGTTCCCCTCGCAGATGCTTGTGGCCTGGCTGCTACCTGTGGGGGATCACGGTATCTTTTGGATGCCACAGGAGTTTTGGACCACGACCCGTGGCCTATTGCAGGAGCTGCTTGGCCTGATCTTTCAGTCCAGCCTGTGTGTGAGAGGTTTGATGTTTCCAGCCATTGACTGTCCAGTTCACTAGAGGAATCCCTGCGGCCTTTGGGCCCCATACAAGGGGAATGCACGTCACTGCCTTTTCAGTGAAGCTCAGAAGTTCCTTCTAAAAAGCCAATAATTACGACAGATCAAACACACAGTTTAGGTCAACCCTGATTTACTGTAACAAAATAATTATTGCTGCCTTTCTGTGATGCTTTTTGGAGATTGTGTGAGTTCCGTGTCAAGGGTGAGCCTTAGGAAGGGTGGGGTTTCTGGTTTGTTAGTCAGTTATGCCATTTTCCAGGTGGAAGAATGGGGAAATGGGTGCTTCCAAGGAGCCTGAAGGAAGGTGATCTCTGTTGTTGCAGCGTGCCCTTGGGGCTGCAATGAATTTAAATACTAACTGGCACTTACCACCTCAGTTTTTTAAAATCACTTTAGCAGTAGAGAGGCCTAGGTAGTCATCCAACAAAAAGGGGAATAGGTCCTGAGTAGCAGAAAAACATAGTCCCATTCCTCAGTGCCTTTGTTCCAATCCACAGCCCAAAAGAATGGGAATGCTGCAGCAGTGAGGCTTGCAAGGAATGATAGGGCTCCTGTGACTACTCAAGCATTCTGGGTTTTTATTCCAGCTCAGGTAGCTGGACTGAGTGCTTTGGACAAAGGAGCTTGGCCTCATTTCCACCCTGGTTTCACAAAGGAATTGCAAATCTGCACATGCTGCTGGTTCCACTGCTTCACAACGAGATTTTATCAGTGCATCAGTGGCTCAGCTATGACACCATTCCTTTTGTATCTGCTTAAACTGTGAATTGACAGTTGTCCTCTGCACCGGTTTCTGCCTCACCAAAACTGGGGCAGACTGGTTTGTACCCCAGAATCTACTTTCATTTCCTTCTGTTCTTCAAAGCCTGCCTGAATTCCAGGCTCTCAGATATCATCACAGACTTGGGAAATTTTTTTCCATGTCACTTCTTTCACACAGCCTTCATCCATATTTGACCTACTTGTCATTTTCGTAGATTTGTCTGAGAACAGCAGGAAGGAGAGACGATGTGTCTGAGGAGTGTTGGTTCTTAATTAAAACAATGTTCAGAACAGTGGACAACTCGAGAAGCAGATTAAGGCTCTGGTCTTGTAAGTAAGGTCTGTTTCAGCACTCAGGTGCCTATATGATGTGATAGCCTTGTATACACATTTTGTTTGCATATCTGTCTTGTGCTGATGACTGTCAAAATGCATAACAGCCCAGTTGTTAATTGCTCCAAACCCCCAGGAGTCCCCAGCGAGGTTGCTAACTGCTTCTTGGCTCTACTGAGAGAAGTTGCACAAATTGAAGGACCCACAAAGCTGCTTCTGCTCCCACCAAACCTCTCCAGGCTGTGCTGAATTCATGCACCAGTGCAGGCTGGGGGGCAGAGGGGAAACACCTGCAGCTCTTGGGGGTGTTGGGGCACCCCACTGCTGGGGGGTCCCTGTACCCCACAGCCGCCGGAGGGGCTGTTCAGCACCACATCGAGCTTCTGCCCCACTGCCAAACTGGGCTTGAATCACCTAAAACCAGCCTTTCCAGTTCCTTATTTTGCATCATTTGTCAAAGAACTTACTGCTTGTGCCTGGTCACCGAGCTGTTTGGAAACCAACTGCTGTATTAAGAGCTGTTGGCTCTGATAATAACTCACAGGTTGTTGGCTTTTCTGCCTTATGTAGTATTAAGGATGAATTGGTGAAAATTTCAACAAAAAATTGTGTGTTAAAGTTCAGGTAACTTTTTTAAGACTCAAGAAGATTTTCAGACCTCGGTGATGCTTGCTTGAATATTGGGGATGGTAAAAGAGCAGAGGCAGTCTGTTGGGATTTTAAAAGGAGCATTAGTCAATCAAATTGTAATGTTCAGCAACAGGCAGAGTTTTTAAAATGAATTTGTATTCACAAGCTGGAGCACCTAATACAAAACTAGGAGTAATTTGTAATGAGTTATCTTGACACTCTTATCCTAGTAATTCCTCTCTGATTTTGTGCAAAAAGCTGCTCTCCCCTGCAACAAAGGAGTCACGCTGTCTTTACTCATTAAAAATTGCATATGTGTAAAATATCGGTGTTGTCTTTAGTCTAAAATCCCTCACTACATATGACTTGTACCATACATCAGAACCCCTCTCCCGCAGCCTGGCAACTGTCTCTGTTGCTATAGGAACAGCTCCACTATCCTTTCATGGAGAACCTCAAGTATTCCCATTTTTGTAGTTGTTAGAACACCTCCAGTCCTTGCTTGTTTCATTCACTTACTCACTCCTGTCCATGAGATCTTCTCCTCCCAATTTGGAGAGTTACTCAGCACTTCTGGACTCATAAATGAAAGAGTATTAGTTAGCTGAAGGGCAGTCACACTTTGAGGTCCACATTTGACTGGGACATTGACACTGCCGTTGAGTTTATTTGATTTGCAGACATACAGTGTAATTGGCATCCCCTAATGTGCCTTAAATTTTACTTAATAGAAAACTATCAAAATCTCTGGCTTCTGCACTCTTGTCTGCAGTTATATACCAGAGGGCAAAAGTTTCTGAGAAACATCTAATCTCAAGTGTTAAACCCCCAGGTAGCATAACCTCAGTTAACTGTGAAGAAGCTTCCTCAGTGTAAGTTTATTGTGAGATTGTGTATTACGTGGGTGTCACAGCTGTCCTTGAAGAATTGCACTGACCAGTGTGTTGAACTCTGCTCCATGTTAGAGAGCAAGCCCAGCAGTCCATGTGTCTATGTAGGAGCTGTGGAGTTAAGACCATGAGGGTCACTGTATTTGCCCTTCATCTGAGCTTCCTTTTCTGCACTGAATTGGCACAGCTCCATTAAGCAAAGGTAGGTTGTTCAATCTGCCTTCCTGCTTCTAGATGATCCTGATAATGAAATAATTGTTGAAGGCTTACTGTTTCACTTATGGTAAGATTGCACTGGAATAATATAAATTTTATGTAAGATGGTCTTAAAAACCCCAAGGTAGATAGTGATAAAGCTTGATTTTTAATTATTAAAAAAGGGCTTTTTTGTTGTTCAATTTATACAGGTGTCTTAATAAGACTGGGCAATGCTTTTATCCTGCTAGAAGTACCGGGCACGTATATTGCATTGTGTCTTGGGGATCTCCATGGGGGAAGGAAAGAGGAGGCCAAGGGGATCTGGTGTCACAACCAGATCTCAGTTGAGTAAGATCCTACACTGCTAAACAGAAAGACGTAAAGAGGCTGGAGAGGACCTGTGGTGTGGAGAAGACTGGAAGCTGTGGCACCAGGGATTTCCTGAACATCAAGTACCCGGCCAGAGCTTTGCCATAGGAGAAACAGCAGCTGAAGATTTCGGTAAGGAAACATAACAAGGAGAACAAAATAAGAGTCTGAGAAAAGTGAGCAGAAGAAAATATTTCTCAGCTACAAAATACTCAGTAACATTCCCAATCAACACTGGCTCAGTGCAGCCCAAAATCCTGTGACATTGGGAAGAGACAGCTCGGAGATTCCCTAGTCATTGACTGGGCTTTTAAATTTATTCTTTGCAGCCAGACAGTGCTCCTGTTGCCGGCTTGCGGGCACAACAGCCAACTCTCCCCCCCCGCCAATCAAAGGGGCGCTGCCGAAGCGGGGCTGCTCCTGCAACAAAAGTGTAGGAAGCTCATGGCTGCAGAGTAATGCAGACAAAGCACGAGTGAGAGGGAGACAAAAGGGATGGAGTCCCAGAAGATGTGATCCACCCCGTTAAAGGAACCGTCTGTAGCCTCTGCAGCTGTGTTTATGCTGCCTCACGCAATAGGCACCAGCCTCTCATCCCCCCAGGAGATTTTTACAGCATTAATTCACTCTGCATAAAACCCAGCCTGCAAGGCTCTTCTTCAGCAGCACCCTTTTCATCCCTCCAGCTCCCCCTGTTCCCAAGAGCCCTGTCCGCAGGGGCTGCACCCCTCCGGCTGACCTGCCAGTGCTCTCGACCAAATGTCACCTGTACCCAATGAAGCAGACACCGAAGTGCCACGAATGGATCCCAGGATTCTTATTTTCCTTCTCTACGTGATGATCCTTCATGAGCTGGTGAGTGGCTGGATGGAGTACCAGAAGCAGATAGCCAAGCCGAAGAAGCAGGCGGGTCCAGTTTGGTCTTCTAGGTAAGTTAATGCCTATTATGTTTCCAAATGTTGAATTGCTCAGCTTTGTTTTGATGGAGAAGATTGCCTTTTGTGTATGCACATCAGCCCTTATAGATGTGTGCATGTGTGTATCATCTGTCGTGTATAAATGCGCAGAGGTAGGATTAAGGACCGTTAATCTTTTGAGCCTGTATTGTCTGGACGTACTGTGCATTTGACACACTTGCAGATAAATATGCCTGTGATTTGTTTCTTTTTTTTTTTTTTTTTTGTGGAAATGTGCTGTAACTCAGCATATTTCCTGTGACTCAGGTTCCAAATCGACATACCTGGAAAAGAAATAAGTAGGTAGCACAAGGAGCTACGCTTCATGCGTGATATTCATCAATGAGGCACAAATCTCTAGAGACTCTTTGCAATCAGAGTATTTCATGTTAAATCACTAGCGTGCATGTCACTACCTCGCCGTCTCCTCCCACTCTCTGGGCTGTGCCCACTACACTAATCCTTTCCTTGTTTTCTGCCCAACAACAAAAATGAACTGGAGAAATAAGGACATTAAAGAAAAATGCTGTATGTCCTTAAAATTCAGATATGTTTCTGCAAGCATTGTTTACATCTTGCTCACTTGTAATAGTGTTTGGGGTAATGGTGGTCTTAGTATTGATGGGGTTTTACATAGAAAGATATCTTGACAGCTATCCATTGGTTGCATAATTAGAGACTCGCCCCCTGTGACCCAAATTTCACCTCCTGCCAGATCTCAGCCAATGGCACACCAACATCTCCTAGCTTTGGACCTGAAAAGATGCTTGTGACCCAGTTTGCTCTAGGTCTGACAGTTGCAGTATGAGTGCGCAGAGCTCACAGCTCACTCCTTATCCTAATCCTCTGACATGCAGCAATCCCAGCCGCAATTACAGCCCCGCTGTACTTAGTGCTGCACATGCACACCCCAGGGGTGTCTCTGTAGACGAGAGCACCAAGCGAAAGCCGAGGTGCAAGGATGCACCCATGGCTTCCTGAAAAGCAGTAGCCAGCAGATACCGGTCTCTTTGTCTGCAGTTCAGGGATAAATTCACTGGATGAATTTCCAGACCAGCAAAGTTGAACTGCACCTTGCACTGTCTAGTTGTACAAGTAAAATGATTAGCACTGGGAACGCAGCCATGGGTGGAGACAGTGCAGAAATATAGCTTGAAAGTGATGAGGCTGGATTATAATTGAGGTCAGAGGCAGATTTCCTTGCTGTCTTGAAGGAGTGCAGGGAGGCATTGGACAAGAACTTGCACTGAGGTCTGAGGTACCCCAACGCTATCAAAAAGATGCAGTGCAGAAAACCTAATGGAATAATTTTATTTACTAGAGGCCACCAAGCAACTTGCATCAAACAGCCAGGGTAATGCCATAGGACTGTTTGGTTTTTTTTTTTTAAGAGATCCTAAGGGAATTAGGTACCCCATCAAAACCAAAAATCCCTAGAGGCTGCCATCTAACCCAGCCTCATTTGGGGAGATGAGACCAAGCTGGATGATTAGTGCAGGGCCCCACACCCTGGGGACATCTCAGCCGTCTCCATCTGAGCGGGACACGCAGCCCACCCTGCCCACTGTCACAGGAGGCTTTGCCCAGCCTGTGCCTGCCCTAAAACCTGCTCTTGCTGCTCCTGCAGCTGACACCAGCCAGTCTGGGAAAGCAAAGGCACCAGGCCTGTGTGTGTCACATGGATTGTTCACAGATTGCACTATTAACAGAGGAAACTCTGCGGCCTGGAGAACTGGAAAATTACAGGATGAATCGGGGTCCTCTTAGTGGAATTAAGATTGTTCTGCACGGGCACCCTGATTCCGGTGTAGCCTGGGTTCATACACCCCTGCTGCAATAATGCTGAAGCTTTCTTGAGTGATGAGCTCTCGAGGCCAGGTTTCCCAGTGCTCAGAGAGCATAGCTGGAGCCAGATATTCGCCCTTCAGTATAGGCTTGGGCTTAGAAAATGCTCAGAAACGGTTGTGACATCTGTAGCATGGTTCTCCAAAGAGTTCAAGCCACAGCTCAGCAGTACAAGAAATCTTCCTCATGCCTTGCGTCAGGTCAGGAGCACCACAGCACAAGGCCAGCTCAAAAGTGAGGTTCACACCAGTTGGTTTAATGCTGGAGGAGATACCATCTGTCCATGGCAGCCTGGCCTGAGAATCACCTGTCCTGTCACAGCTGATGCGGCACCAGAATGAGAGCATAAAGCAAGCAGCAATATTGGCTTTGATGTAATTGACAGAAAGTGACTGTACGCCCACACCTGCACCAGATTGAACGTATGGATCTGGGGCACCCAGCTGAGCCCAGCCCTGGTGTCAGCGGCGGTGGAGCGTGACGGCTGCTCCCGCTGCGCACCCAGCCATCGAACCGCCTCTCGCTGCTGGGTACCAGCTCCAGCTGGGAGGAACGAGAGCGAGGGGCTGGTGCCATCTGAGATCCCAGGATTATTGACTTTCAGGAAGGATTTGCAGACATTGCCAAGGAAGACACCCGAATCCTTCCTGTAAGAGTTTAAACCTGAGGTAACAGCAAGGCAGACCTCCTTGGAAAGAGATGGATATAAGGCCACCTTGCTTCCCAGCACAGCCTGGAACTGGGCCAGTGCTGTGGAGGTGAAGTTTCATCTCTTGCCACAGGGCCTGAGCTGCCACCTCCCTAGCCTGTTTGTCACAAGTAATTAACTTGAAAAACAATTAGGAAATGAAGTTATAAAGCAGCAAGCTAATTAGGACATGAGAAAACTGTCTCTTGACTGTAGCCTCAGCACAGGCAGGGATTTCAGGGCTCTTCCTCCTTTTGTGGATGTTGAATAGTAACAAGCTGTGTTGTAAAGCAGCTTTTTCTCACATTCACAGCTTTTCCCCAGCTCTGTCTTCCTCCGCTCCTGGAGTGGCTGGCGGCTCCCCCACTCCCTGCCTCCATTCATCAGCCACTTCTGCCATCCCACATCACTTCTGCTCTCCACCAGCCTTTCCTCACTGTCCCCCTCCACTGCGTACGGGCACAGGGGGAAATGATATCTGGATGATTTTCATTGGCAAAGCCAGTGGAGATCTCAGGAGGAATGTCTCTGAGCAGGATCTAGAAAGAGGAGAGGTCTCTCATCTCTAGCCCCAGAGTTCACCATGGCATCATCCTTTTGGCAGGGATGGGGAGGGGACGCACTTCACCCCATATGAATTTCACCACAAATTCCTACAAACACTGATGTGCCCCACATCACCCTCTGCACTGGCAGGAGAATGTGCGTGTTCACTGGGCCAGTCTTTTGCAATCTTTGGAAAAGCTAGATATAAAAACAAGTAGTGGTGTTAACCGGGAGGAAGAAAAGAAAAACCCGAGACACAGAGCCTAGGAAGAGCAGAAATACCCAGGGCAAGTGGGCCTGAGCATTAAGTCACCCCAGAAATGCCATAGGTGAACACAGCCCTGCTGTTCTGCAGCCAGGCCAGCTCTGCTAGTCTGTCCTGGGCATCCCTGCACGTGGCGTGGCTGATCGTGGTGTGGTTGGTTCATGGCATAGTTGGTTCACACCCTGGACAACCCCCTGAGAGAATGTGGACTGTAACAAGGGTGGCAAAAGCCCAGAGAAGTGCTGGGTGTGCATGATGCTGGGTTTAGTGGTTTTAAGGAAAACTGCTCGAAGGTGTTTGAAGTGGAAGTTTCAAAGAGCCGAGGGGTTTGGTTTCAGTGACCCATCTGGGCAGAGGGGATGGTCCTCAGGGCTCTGACAGGCCCTTTGTGGGGTCCTGAGCTCACATTTGTGCACTTGTAGTTTAGCAGCTGTTTCCAAGACTTCCCGTAGCTGGGACAGTGAGGGTCCCCATCGCCACTTCAGGTGCATAGGAGAGGCTCACCCCTGGGTTTCTGCCATCCAGACACCTTGAGCATCAGGGGCTGCAGCAGGATCCAGCACTGGCCCTTCTTTTGGCAGCAGCAGTGAGCCCTGTTCTGCTGACCAACATTCCCTGTCCTTTTAGGAGCGCCCACTCGATGAAGGAGATGTGCCCCAGCTCTGACCCACACCAGTAATGATGTCTCACTTTGTTCTTCACTAGCAACACCACCAGATCAAACCACTCCAGCTTCTCCAGGCCTCTGGTCCACTCTGTGCGCAGGGAGAGGTACAGGGACTGGAGGAAACCAGGGAGGATCATCCGGAAAGCGTGAGGATGAATCTGTTGGGGAGCGTGGGGAGAGATTACTGAGCCAGAGGCAACCATCCCTCATAAGGTCTGCACCAACTTACCACCTCTCAGCAGCAGCCGGCATGAGAGCATCCTCCAGGCACCGTGATCTGCAACCTGCAGCTCTCTCCTTTGCACTGAGCCTGGCATGACCGAGAAGGAACGAGCTCCTTCCTCCTGGGAACCCGTCCCTGCGTGGTGAGGAGCCAGGGTGGAGACACCTCAGCCAACAGCGGGATCGCCGGAGGTGGGATGAGGCTTTTGCCACCCAACAGAGTGAAGTGACTTTTGTTTCTTCGTTCCAAAGGGTCTGGTAGATGGAGAGTAGATTTTTGGGGGGAAGAATTAGATTTGCTCCTGCATGGGCAACCCTGGGAAGCCTCCAAATGGTTTCAGTCTCCTCTCCTTCCACCTCAGGGCTGCGTGGTTGGTAAGCAGCGTTTCCCAAAGTGACTGGAAAGTCATTGGTGTTCACTTTGCCGCCACTCCCAGGAGAACTTGCCTCCACTGGGGCACCCAGAAGTCATGACACTTTGGAAATGCTGGCTCCGCGTTAAGTCTCATTCACTGGGAGTTGGTAATTTTTTTTCTGCTTTTTTTCACCCTTGTTAAATGAGGTACTCTGGGGTGGAAGGGGAAAGAGCCCTGAACCAGTGACTCAGAATTATGCCGCCAATTGCAATTTACTGCAATGACCTTGTAATTAGATTTCTTCAGAGCATTCCCAGCAGTCGAACTAAATGTAAGAGCAACTTTCTAATCAGCAGATAGATGGGAAAGGAATACAATATTGCTCTTTTATTAGAGTCTGTAATTTAGGCATAAAATTATATTTTTAGAGGCAAAAGTCACTTGTCGAATCCTGGCACCACACATAGCAGTTGTATGCAGGCTGGGAATTGCTGAGCACCGGAGGGATTCTGACACTGAGCTCCTAACAGCAAATGTCCATGGCCGAACTGCCTGCCTTATTTGCTGAACATAATGTTTGGCTCGAACGCAGCCTGTTTTTCTCATTGCCAACCATTTATAAACCTGACTCAGGCTCACAGATGCATTATCCAGAAGTAGATAGGGAAGGGAGTTGGAATAGATTATGCATTCATTATCCAGAAGTAGCCACCAGATACATTTGCACATTTGTCTGCTGCTCAGTTGTTTGCAAATTGTTCCTGTCAGTTGACACTGTGTTTGTTCAGTCACCCACGGCAGGAGTCACCTGGCCCAAGGTAGAGCTCTGCACCTGAGCGAGACATCCAGACCCCTGTGTGGCAAAGAGGGGCACATGAGGGGCTGTGAGGCATCTCCTCCAAAGTTAAACATCAAAAGAAAGCTGGCTGAACGTGCTCTTGAAGTGTCCAAGCAGGCAGGCTGGATAAGTGACTCGGATGTAGACCTCTACTGTTAGGGGAGATGAAGTCCATGCCTTGTGTTCAGATGATTTAAAAAAGGAGATAGAAGTAGCAGTTAACATTTTCTGCACATTTCAAAGCATAAACTCTCTGCAAAGATGTGCCTCAGCTCTGTGACACTGTGGCTATTTCCTGAGGCGTCCACTGCCTATCCCAGTACATGCAGGTACATCCAAAAGTAACAGAGCAACAAATGGAGAAGGTGTCAGGAGGAAAAATATTCAGAAAGTGTTTCTGGGTGGTGGGGAAATATGCTTTCCCAGAGTTGAGCCTGCCCTGGTCTTACAGTGGATGTGCAGCTGCAGATATTCTCTCTACTCTTCTGCTACAGTAAGTGTGAACTTTCTGGGAGCACTTGCTATGCAAAAAGTGTTTAAATTAATTACTGAAGTGGTGCACTGCACAATCTGGGCTCCCAGTCTCAGTGGGACAGGCACACCTGAGCAGGGACAGATGGACCTGAATGGGGCAGGCAGATGTCCTGACTGCTGCACCCCTAAGGAATGGTGAAGGGACAGGAGTGTCTTGCTCTGCTGATCACATGCTGGATTTATCCTTGTAAATATTATGTTTACTTCCAATAAACTGTTTTACATATATGGTGTTTAGGTTGTCTCCATTCTCACTCAGGCTTTGCATCTCTACTGGTTTTGGCTTTCCCAGCCTGGAAGCCAGCAAAGGTGGTGGCTGGAAGCTACCCCAGAGGGACAGTTGGTGGTATGGGGTGATCCAGTATGGCTGAAAGCATCTCAGATGCTGAATTTATAGCACAGATATTTGTTCTCATGTCCTTTATGCAGAGGAACACATGACTGCAAACCGGAGTCTTGTTTCGGATGGTTGTAGGCTTTGCTTTGTTGTTTTTTGGTTTTGTTTTGTTTTTTTTTTTTTGCAAACACTCAGGTTACTCCTCAGCTTTGTTGGAGAAATTCTTGCCCAAGAAATGCACCTCATGGTGGGAACCAGTATGGTGGAGAGCCTGAGGTCCATCAGACTTCAGTGATGTGGACCCCCCGAGACCCGAGGGAGCGATACAACCCAATGGCCTGAGTCCAGACCCCCACGGGGGCTCACCTTCACGTTGGTATTTGCACAACTAACTGGGCTGACTGAAGGTCCAGGCAAACAAAGATGCAGTCAAGGGCGGCCAGCTTGCATCTCTCTGCTGAGGGTTTGGGTCTGATTCTGCACTCCCACCCCGCTGTTCCCCCATAGCAGCCTTGGACACACGTTTACGCACCGGGCAGGGGAGGTGGGTGACTCTTCAGTGACGAATGGCTGAGCTGCAGCATCACGATACACAAAGAACGACTCCGAACAGGAACTCCCGAGAAGACAGACCATGTACTGTAGCCAGCAACGTGTCTGATACAAAACCAGCTCAGCCGCTGCACTGAGCCATGCTCTTTATTATTAAAAAAAAATTACACCCTACCTAAAAAAAGAAATGGACACTGCACTTGCTGTAAGCCCTGGTGCAGCCCCTCGCCCCAGGCTGCAATGAGCAGCGCTTCTCCTCGGGTGCTGCACCGTGCAGCGGAGGGAAGTCACCTTGTATGGCTTCAGATGGTGTCAGATGAAGTCCCGGGGCGGGAGGCTGTGGGGGCTGTTGGCTCAGCTCTAAATAGACTCTGTGGGCTGTAGGCTGTACGTTAATCCACACTTTTCTAAGAAAACTTCCCTTTTGGCTTGAAATGGTTTAGAGAAGTTTCCAACCCTTCATCAGTGAGGTAGTGAGAGCCCCGCTCACCCCAGTGCTGGCCGCTAGCAGGAACGTTCAGGGAGGTTTTGAAGCACTGATTTTTGACTATCTGTGGAGTAACCTTCCTGCCCGGACTGTTTCCATCCGGTCCCAAGGAGTTCATTGGGATAGAGCATCAGGATTTCACCCTCTGGGCTTTTAATCTCATCAATGGATGTTATCCTGCCTTACAAAGCAAAGGGTTTGTACAAGTTAGAGCTGGTGGCAGTGAGTTTCATGAGTTGGGCTTGGACCAGACGACTGCTGGAGTCAACATGCCAGAGACCATCTTCTGAATATCTCAGCAAAACCCTCTGGGGTCTTTCTTTTTCTTGGAAGAAAAGCAGGGAGACAGTTTCAGAAATTCACATTTTCTGACCTACAGTATGATGCCCCCCTGCCCCCCATGGTCGTCACCGGTGGAGCAGATGCTGACCTGCAGCCCGTGGAGGAGCCCACACCAGGACAGGCGTCTGTGCTTAAAGGAAGCCGGGACTCTGAGGGCAGCCTGTGCTGTTGTAGTTTGACTCTGGGAGCAACACGTGGGGGTGACCCACACAGGAGCGGCTGGGGAAGGGCTGCAGCCCGTGGTAGTGACCCACGCTGGAGCAGGGGAAGAATGGAAGGAGACCTCCCCCCGAGGAGGAATGAGTGTTGGAGTGTGAGGGACCGACCGCAACTCCCATCCCCTGTCCCCCTGCGCTGCTGACAGAGAGGAGGTGGAGAGATCAGGAGCAAAGCTGAGCCTGGAAAGTAAGGAGGGAGTGGGGGGAAGTCATTTTTAAGGTGTGGTGATATTTCTCACTGTCCAACTCTGTTAAGTGGTGGTGTTGTTAGTGTTTAAATTATATTGATGTTCTTTTTCTTCCCCAATTGCATCTGTCTGTTTCTCATGACCATAGCAGATGACCCATCCCTCTCTGTCCTTATCTGGATTCCTGAGCCTGTTGCTTTATTTTTTCTCCTCATTCCTGAGGGAGAAAGGGGGAGTGAGCGGCTGCATGGTGCTCAGTTGCCCTCCGGCGGCTCAAACCACGACACCCTGCTGCTGCGGTCGCCAGCCTGCTGGCACTCTGGCAGTCTGGGGGGGGCAGTGTCACCTCAGCCCTGCTGAACTCTGCACCCCTCTATGACACCTGCCGTGTCTGGACCCCTCTCCCTGGTGCTCGGCGGGGTCAGGCTACGTGCTGCTCATCAACGCAACCACTTCAATTGCATCCTTGACTTGCAGGGACTGTGCTCCACTCACCAGCACCTCCTAGACCTTCCCCTGGTGAGAGCAACCCCAGAGGCTCCTGCTTTTGGAGGATTTTGAGCAAAAGCCAGCTGTTCTGATAAATCAGCTGCTGCTTTTCCTGACTGCAGTTCTCCAACCTGCTGCAGTTTCACTACCAAGCTTTCCTCTCCACCATACAACCGGGGGGTCACCAGAGCCTCTTCCTGCACATCAGCTCTTCTCTCAGCAAGTCTGAAGGAGCTCAGGTGCTTCTGTCACTGCCACCAGCTGCACCGTGGCCTGACCCTCGTGGGAGGACAGAGTAAGTCTCCCCTGTGGCTGCATACAAGGTTTTATTCATATTCGGTTTTAACAGGAATCAGTTCCTAAAGACGAAACCCTCCACAGGTGCTGTTTGGGTTTGCTTTTTTTTTACATAAAGAGTAAGCAAAATCCCTGTAGTGCTCAGAGGTGCAGGACTGGATGCTGGTCCTGATTCCTCCCCTTCACATCCAGATTAACTCTAATCCTACTGCTGTTTTCCAGGTAAATGTGTGGCTAATGGCTTGTGTGAGTCACATTCAAGTTAAATGAAAATTAACTTTTTTTTTCCTGCTTTGCTTTATGTTAAAGCAGATTTAAAATTTTTGAGTAAACCTTATGTGTTTTCTTCTTACCACTCAAAAGTTCTCCTCTCACTCAGAGTACAGATCCTTGGTCTCTTTCATTAAGAAATTATTGCATATATTAAAATTTGCTTTCTACAGAGTGGGCATCAAATCCAGGCCATGGCTAGCATGGGGAAAATGGAACCCATGACCTTGTGAATATTTGTCACCCTGAGAGCTGAGCTGGTTGTTGATGCTGCAGCAGTTCAACTTTGGGTAGAAAATAAAGGATCTATTTGTTGCCAGTGTGTCTGCTCTCTGCAATAGGGTGGGATTTCTGCAGCTTTGTGGGTGATGATACCAAAAGGCAGCAACAAAATATTATTGGTGTGTCCTTAATTTGGAAAGGTTCACTTTTTGGGAAAAGTAGTGAAAGACAGAGGAAAGCAAATGGTTGATGTCTGCCATAGACCTCTCTGTATTAGAAGGCACTGTCTTTAGCTGATGGCTGAGCAAATAATAATCAGCCTTGCCCAGCCCCCTGGGTTAGAGCCCCATTTTTACCAAAATGGGAGTTAAAGGCTAGATTAAGGAAATGACACCTGGTTTCAACCAGGCTTTGGGAAGCCCTGGTGAGCACAAACTGGTTCTCGGCCCCTCCTGAGCTTTGCAAGCCATGTTCCTTCACCAGCTGCCGCATCCAGCCACACTGGAGCACACAGGAACATGCAGTCTAATTGTAAGTTTCTCTGGCTGACTGAAGCCAGGAGAGACCAAAGGTGCCTCTGTCTAAAAATGCATCGGCTGTAAAAATGCCTTCAAACCTGTTTTCTCCCCAGAGTCTGTCCCACATCCCTCGGGATGTGATGCAGAGCTTCGAGCTGTGACTGCAGCAGGGAAGGCTGAGAGCATCTTCCTGGAAATGGCTCATTACACAGAGTCATTATCCCAAAACGGCCCTGAGCATTTGGGGGAGATGCTGGGATGCCAAAGGCACCGTGGGCAATGAGCCGTATGAGAGCCAGGGTGCTTAAACATAATCAAAAGTGTGTGATTTCAGAATCATCCACAGATGGATGTGAGGCTCCCAAATGGTCAGGGAAATGATTTATCACCGGTGAGACACCAATGGGCTTAAAATCTGTGCCCCAGACAGGGACAGGCTCGGTGCCTGCAGGCAGAGCTCGGTGCTGCCATGATGCTCTCACGCCTCGCCCTGCCGTTGCTCCTGCCAACAGGAGCCTGGCACAGTTTTGGGTCACCCCATGGTTACATTTGTGCTCAATGGACAGAGCAGCTTTGGCGGCTGCTGTGCCCCCAGCCAGCCTCCCAGGTGTTGGTGCCACTGGTAATGAAGCGCTACCTAAAGGGCTTGAGCTGGCATGGGTGGAAGGAGCAGCATCAGCCACCCGCCCTGTGGTCCTCCCTCTGGAGAGCCACCCAACTCACGCAGCGGAGAGGCTCCCTTCACCAGGCTGTGAATAAACAGCAGCACCTCGTAACCAGCGGTGAGTCCTGCTTGGTGGGACCGTGGAAGTTTGGGTATGGCAGCCAAAGGATGCGTGGGGAACGCTCTGTCTGCAGGGCTGGGAAATCTGGCAGCAGGAGAGGGAATAGGTCGGCAAGCCGCTTGCCAACTGTGCTGTAAAAAAAAAGGCTGAAATAATTGTAGTGTGGGTGATGCTGGGATCTTACTAGTGATTTTAAATGCAGAGGCTTTGGGAGCCAAGCAGTAACAGCATCATCTGTTTCATCTCCTCCCATCAGCAGTTAGTAGTGGTGAACATTTAAGCTGCTCCTGCAGTTCCTTTGTGGCCCTTTCTCTTTCCTTTGCAGCACAATCAGAGAAAGTCAAGCTGAGCATGGCAGGTTTGAGTCTGATTCCCGTGAGGTCATATATTTGCATGTGAAAAGCAAGATTTGGCCCCTTGCACCTGCCAGGTCTCCTCCTGTGGAGGCTAGGATAAATATCAGTCAACTTTTGGCCACAGATCTTCAGAACCAGGGATCATTTGAAAACCTGCCTCTTCTG